AGCCCGCCAGGGAGCGGCCCGGGGAGAGGGCGTTGTGTGCACGCCGAGAGGGGGGGGCTGAGCCCGGAGCCTTGCCGGTGGTGGGGCTGGGGGTGGCACACGGCACCCGGGGAGGCGGAACACGGCTCAGCTTCAGGGGACCACTTGTTCAGAGAGAAATGATCTTGACTGATCGGTTTTACAGGGCAATGGTTTATTAAAAGATCAAACCCGGTGCAGGGTGCCCAGAATTATTCTCAAGATCTCCAAAAAACTAGAGAAGGAGGATCTGAAGGGGACAGGGCTTTATGCTCGCTGTCCAAACTGGCCATGCCCGTGGGGTCGCAGTCTGTCCGGGCTGACGCTGACACCCAGACACGCGTGGGTTCTGTGAAGCGGAGCCTCACGCCGGGCACGACTGCTGTTGGCAGGAACACGCCGTGTGAGCGGCGACCGTGCTCACAACGTCCTCGGATTTCTGGTCTACCCTGATCTGCCCTTCCAGGTTGACAGCAGAGTCTGTAAATGAGGAAGGAGGGGAAAAGAGGTCGTGTGAGTGGTTTTTTTTTTTTGTTTGTTTTTATACACTGAGGTGCTCATGCATTAGTGCACTCAACCCCATGCTTTTTAACAGAATCAGAGCCCGACATGCAGGCTGTGTTGTGTAGAAGGGCCTGCCCTGCAGACTCACCGGCTGGCGCACAGTGGAAGCCCACAGAGACAGGAACAGTCCTGGTTGCTGAACAGCCTTCTACGCAGTGTAGAACTGGCTCCACAGAGAAGCATTTTGCAGCCTTCTTCTCAAATGCAACGGGCTTCTCAATTTTGACAAATTTGCGCTGCAGCTTACAAGCTAATGAACATTAATTACCTTAGAGCACCTACAGAATTTATATATTAATGATTTGGGCTTAATTTGTAGAATTAGCAGTAACTAAAACCAGTGGATGTACCGAGTGACACAACCTATGTGAAACTTGTCAGATTGAAGTGAGTCAATTTTCCATCAACAGCTTAGGCTGAGAGAGAATCAGGTGTGGGGGCACAGTCCCACGGACAGAGGTTTGCCAAATAGGATCTAGGTGGGACACAGATGTCCAAATGCAAAGAGATACATGTGAAAACCTTGGTCAGCTGACATTCAATTTCACCCACACTGTGGCAGCACTTAATTTTGGGGCAGTCGTGGCTCCTAGACATCCATGTATCTACTTCTGCACGGTGTCTAGCATCACACCTGCCTTGCCATGGCTGAGTAGCTTAGTCATTGAGTCTCTGTGATCCAGGCTTTCCTGGACCAGTCTCCCGATGGGAGCTTGATCTAAGAATATATTCCAAAAATGCCACAAAAATGTGGTGCACCCTAATTTTAGCAATATGTTCATGTTGGTTCTATATAGGACCTGAATGTTAAGAACAATCATTCCCGGGCTGAAGGTTACAGATTTAGTTCATCTTCAGCGTGAGGAAATTAAAACAGGTATTTCCCACTTAATCATCTAGTTTGATAGCCAAGGCTAGCTTTTAATTATTTTTCGGGGAAACTAAAAGTCTGGAAATAACAACATGGAAAAAAGGAATGAAACTATTAAGGATGACTAATTGTCTATTGTCAACAACAAAACTACCTACTTTACACACTAACTTATCATCTTAGGAAGTTTTAAGTTTATAATTTTATGTGGAACACACAAAGTTCAGGTAAACACATCGTGCATAAGAAGTTGATATAAAAATGCAAGAAAACCAAAACTTGCAGTGAATGACTAAACACAGGAGAAACAGATTTTTCATTTTTAGTCTACAGCCACTAATCACAAAAACAGTGAAAAATAAGATTATTGTGCTGCCATTAATGTAAATAATCTATTCATCTAACTAATTAATTAGTCAAAGGCAATGACATTAATGTATGTTAGAATCTTAGTACCTCCAGCACAGGGGTCTTCTGAGATGATCCAGGACTGTCCAAAACTCACTGCATCTTTAGCTAAATATCCACTGGGCATTTGATATTCCCTTTCCTTCTCAGCATCGTATTTTCCACAAATACCACATGTTTTTCCAGCCATCCAGAAAGCAACTTGAATCTTTGTGAAATTAAAGAAAAGAGGCTCTTAAAAGTTTTACCTTCAACAAATAAAGCTACTGAAAATAATTTAAAAAAATACCTCAAGTCTGTGCCCATCGTAGTATAGTTGATCTATGCCATAATCCGAGGCTTTTAGCAACAGGCCTTCTTTTTCGCTGCTGATCAGCATGCTTGAAACTGAAAGAAAAAGCAAAAAGCAGTTTCTTTAAAAAGGAAGTGATTGTTCTAGAGTCCAGCCTGAACCACTTGTTAAATTCCCGGGGACTTAGTGCAAGCTCCAATGTATATTGAAAGAGATGGAGAAAAGAGAAAGACTGTACCCCACGCTGCCCTGGAACAAGCCAAAGCCTTGTGATGAGGGTGGCCATGGCAAAGTTACATCTAGATGCTTTCTCTGTGGCCTTCCGTGATCAGCACAAGGTACCACAGCCCCGCATTACTTGGTTTGTGCAAAGATACACAGGATCAGCATCTCTTTCTTTGCTCATGCTTCTTGCCGCCCTCTATGAAAGCTATCATGAAGGTATGTTAACATCACCTAATTGTTTCTCAAATTGGGGCAAGCTTTATCTTGAGAGGCGTTTGCAGAATCACATCCTCTCCTTCTTCAAAAGATCAGAAAAGATTGAATAAAGTATAAAGGTGAGTCTCTTACCAGAATTAGATGTGTATGGAACATCTGTTGAGACTTGAACACCATTAATCTTCAACTGGATGAGTCCATGGGAAACATACATGTCCACCTGACTAAGGAAATTAGTATAAACATATGCTTCTCCTTTTTCCTACTTAAGTCATAATTTTAATCCTGGTAGAACCAACACTGCAGGATGCTCATATCATTCTGGCCTGAATCACCTGCTACCCTTTGGGAGGAAGGCTGAGAGCACCCAGGAAAGCGTGCCAGGAGGAGCGCTCACAGTGCACCTTTCCCTGCTTCACTCCGAGTGTCCGCTTGTGGCCACAGTCAGGCAGGAAGACACCAGTCTACAGGGACCCTTGCCGCGGAACAGTATAATTGCTATTAATGTCTGCATAAATTGAAAGTGCTTTACATTTCAAAGGAAGATTGGATTCCCTGCGATGGGTTCTCTTACAGCCTGAATAGGCTGTGTATTGTAGTATTTTCTTCAGAGGGGTGTTTGCTCTAATGAAGAAATATGAAGCTTGAGCCAATCAGAAGCACCTCCATACAGTTGTATAAAACAACTGGGAATGATGCAGTGACGAGGAATGTCTTTATCATGAAAGATACCGTCTGTAAATCAAACGTCCCTCTGTTCCTCCACAAAACAGGTGCAGGGAATACTGGTTTCTCTCTGCTTCTCTAACAGTATGACAGTTAGGCACACCATTTTCAGAAATAAATAATTAGTTGTAATGAAACCTTACCGATCAAAGCCTATTTATACACATTGAAGAATATTCCCTACGATGATTTTGGTATGCATAATCCCATACAACTTAGAGTATCACACTCTACTTTTAAACAAAGTATATCTTAAATTAATTTCAAATAGATTTAGAACATTATGCACCAACTAAGGGATGACCTAAGGGTATGCCTCTAATCTGGACTAAATAATTCACTTTTTAGCCATGTCCACTTCTCAACATCTCTGCTGAGATGTTTGTGCGTGCTAATTAGTTCTAATTATTAGCTCAGTGTAGGAGGCCAGACTAAATGATTACAATAGTCCCTTTTGGATCTACAGTTTGTGTGTCTACCTACTTACTAAGAACTGAAATGAGATGGTTAAATGGTAATGAATTAATGAAGAATTTGGGCCAGTAAAACCTTTAGGTGACTGTGAACCTTAGATATATTTCAGAAGCACTTTTGAAAGGCAAATCCCAGTGACTCTCCTAGAAATCTTTCCATTGACATCAGTAATTTTTGCATGAATCTTATGCTAGCACCAGTCTGCCCTAACAATCTGCTCTACACATTTATAACATATTCAGCTTGACATCTATTCGTCATTACGTTTGCAATTACTTACTGGCTGGCGAGTCTGACATTTATTGCTGTAAGGTCAGCAGACTCTTCAAGTCTTTTCATCATCACCAGGAATTTCAGTTCTGGACTACAGTCCTGCACGACGACATGGTAGCAATTTGCAGGCATTGAATAGTTAAATTCAACTCTATTGAAGGTTGTGATCCTATTTTGGAAAACTGAACAACGAGCTGAAAAAAAAAAACCCAGTCAAAAGCAAGCCTTTTATACTATTTATCAGACATTTTATTTTATGTTAGATTTGTAATCAAAACAAACAAACAAAAAAAACACCACCAAAAAGCCCTCCAAAACCCAACCCATTCCCACAGAAAAGCAAAAGGATTCCTTTAGGTGAAATATTTGATTTGTAGAACTATGAAATGAAAACTTTGCCAGTCCCCAGACAGCAGTGCAACCCACTTGTGATTCAATTATGGTGCGAGATGAATTCTGCTCACATGTGGTGCTTGTGCAACTCTCTGTTTGTGGCCTTTTGGCTTTTGTAACTTTGTGTAGTCAAAAGAATTTCTCAAACGATGTTAACAATTCATGTATCATTGACACCAGAGGAGATTCACTAAAATGCTGCTACCTTTAACGAGTCATAACTAGGATTAGAAATATGGAGAAGATGGGGAAGAAAAAAAGCCGCACTAGAGCAAACTTCTCCCTTTTTCACTGTAATGGTATTTTGTTGGAAATCCTACCAGCTCTCATTAGAAATTACGTTACAGCAATTTTAATTAATACGGACTAGTTTTGGTGTTTACCAAAGAAATATGCACAGGTATGACAATAGGCCACTGATACCAAGCAAAATATGACTCCTTATCCCAGGATTACATAAAGCTTTCTAATTTAAGATTTACCCAAATTAAGTATGATGTGATTAGCACTTAATACAGCATTCATTAGACAATAATCCCTTCAAAATCAAGTGCAGGAGATGAAATTAATGGGTGTACTTTTGAAGCTGTTTTAGCTTCTACATAACAGCACTAACCAAGCAGAGCACCCCCAAATCTAAGGCCACTTAGATGTCTCTCTCCTAGATTATGTGTAGTTTTGTTTTTCTTCATGAGTAATCTCTTCAGTGAAGCTGAAATGGATGCATTTGGAAATAGATGCATTTGGAATCACTATTTGGCATGGAAATGAATATTTAATCTTACTAATCCAAGGTTCGTTTTCTTTACATCTTTGCAGCCTCACAGATTTTCATACAGATGGATTTATTTCTAGCTGAAGTCCACCTGATTTTTCAAGTGAATGTAAAATAATTTCAAGTTATGTCAAAAATATAAATAATATTTATAGAATCTGCAAAGTCAATCAATGCTTGTGCAGACAGTTAATTGCTGACCTTTAAAGCTGTCAATGATTGAAAGCGTTGCTTGCAAAAAGACGTTCCGGTCATGGGACGGCAGTGCTGAAACCAGTGCACTTGGTCTTGAAGGGAATGGCAGGGGAAGCCTGATGGCTCTGTCGTAAATTGTAAGCTGAAAGTCAGTCAGAAAACAAACATGAATATAAATGCAAAGTACGGTGTAGAGATGAGATAGCTTTTTCCTATAATGTTAAAAGAGGACTGTACTGACTGAAATCTAAACTAGAATCTAGATTTAGGTCAGAGCTAAAAATAAGTCACATCCTCCATCTACAGCATGAAATAGCTCTGCCTTTACTGTTTGACACATTTGCAATCTATGGAATAGCAGTGCTATAAATAAAGTTTGATATTCACCAATTTGCATCTTTTGGGGGAGTTTTACATCATATTTGCTCAGAGTCTAGGTTGCTTACCCAAGATGCCCACCCTCTCCTTGCCTGTATTCTGAGGGCTGCTATTTGGCTGTCATACTTCTCTATATCCTGGCTTCGTTATCTTCTCCAAGACACAGGAAAGCCTGTAATCTTCCCGAAGATTTGAGGAGGAGCAGTCTTTTGAATAATTAATTATTAATGTGCTGTCAATCATGGTTTTTTGTAACCTGTTACTTATTTCATGTGTTTACATGCTACATGAGACAGAGAAATGGGTTGTAAGGTATTTCCATAATGGAACCAACTGCGTGAATATAATGTCCTTGTGATGGGAGCTTCTTTATAGTTTAATAAATTAAAAAAAAAAAAATCGGTGGGTTAAAAAAGCTATTAAACTTTGATTTCATAAGTACTGAATGCCTCAGGATAAGAGACAGTGGAAATAGTTACCTCAGGTAGCTTGAAGACCACATCACAGGTTCTTGGAGATGTCAAGGCCATAACCAGTGTTGCCTGGTGAGAGGGACCACACTGTTGCCTTTGGGAAAACCCAAGCATGTACGCAGCTCCCGGAAGAAACGAGTAGAACCTGGAAAAAAAAGTAAGTGGTTAAAATTATCTGTCTTTTAGAAAAATAGTTATTATTTGTTCAGACTAAAATACCTCCATAAAGCCATATGCATTCTGTGGTAGATGCATTTTGTATCAGGGTTTGGCAGTTCACGGTGGTGTGTATGGGAGGAGGGGCAGGCAGATTTTAACCGTTAATGGATGAACCAGTATTCAAGAGACCAGATGGCAGAGTGATATGAGAAGAAAAGTAAAGCCAACATGTTTTAAACACATTCAGAGGTAAAAATAGGCACTGGTTACATAAAAACTAAAATACTAACATTCTAAAAAATAGATGGCCTCATATTAATGTGCAAGTCCTGCAGCCATAACTATTAGCAAGGATCCTTTGCCCATTAAGACCATCAATGAGTTGACAGAGGCATCTCTATGAACAGGTTCCCGTACAGGCTTGGGATCTCTATGACTGGGTTTCCTTACAGGCTTGGGATTCAAATAGAGAAATACATAAAATACTCCTTAAAAAAAAAGGCATAGTCTCAGAGCATAAGAAAAGCCGAGTTCTGTGACTTTGCTCCAGGACAGTCAATTGTGTGGTTTCATCCCCTCTAATAAGGGCAGATAACTGCACTTAGGTAATTCAATCTAATATAAAAAAAGATCCTCTTCAGCAGATATCTCCATGTTATTGGGACCAAATAAATACAACAAACGAATGAGTACAACAGATACTGTATGCATATCACTGATTCACAGAATCACAGAATCACAGAATC